CTCAAGAGTGTTGATAAAGCGTTTTTTTGAAAGTGTTTTTGAAATGTTTTTGTGTGAGTGTGAAAGTTTGTTTTGACCAAGCATCTAAGAACTATATACTTATACTCGAAAGGTTTGTTCTTTTTCTCCTATCCTTTAGACATCGATATCCTACTATTAGTGAGTATGTATCCCTATCGTTGGATGTTTTAGGAACATTCGAAGGGACGTACAGTCATAAAGGCCACATACGAAGATACTTTAGCAATTTTGTTTAAGGGACTAGATCATTTACCGAAAGGCAACACTGTAGGGTCGTCGAGGGACTATGATCTTTTGATTTAAGGGTCTTTGCTAAAGCGTCCCCATTTTCGAGGGACATGACTCTTTTATTTTCCGAAAAGCAACCAAAGTGGGAATACCCTAGAGGTGTATATGTGCAAGTGTGTTATGTTCAGTTATTTTAGTCTTAGATATTAGGTTTGCTAACATTTGATTATTAATCTTGTCATGCAATCCTATTATCATGCATCTAAACAGTTTAAATATTGCAGAAATTTAAAGTGCGGGAATTTAAATCTATGCTATTACAATGCTTCGGGGAGGGGGTATCTACATGTCCAAACCCTGGGGGAGAAATAAAGGAAAGCAGTAAAGAGCCCTAGTTGATTCTATTACATATTGTGAGCGATTAAAATAATTTGAAAAAAAAAATGTAATAATGCACGCGAAATGGAAAAGAACGTCTAAAAATCTTAAGTAAAAGGAAATCTTTTTGTTTTTTTTTGTTTATAAAATCATCAAACTACCTTAAATATAAATTTGATTAAAAAAGATAAGTATTAAATGAAATTAAACCTAATTCTAATATATTTTAATTTTAAAAAAATGTTAAAATTAATTAATTAATTAATTTCAGAATTTAATTTAAAAAGTTAATCCTAAGTTCTTTGTGATTTTTTAATTGATTTTTATTTATTTAAAAGAAATGAGTAAAAATAAAAATAAATACAAGAAGAAGAGCCTTTCGATAAAATAAAAATGATGGCCTTCGATCCTAGTGAAGGATGGCCTTCGATCCTGTGAAGATATGTTATCATTCGATCCAGTGAAGGACGCCCTCCTTCGATCCAGGGAAGGCTGTGGCTTTCGATCCAGTAAAGGGCTTTATTGAAAGTGTCTGATGGATTGTCTGGATGTGCAAAAAATGTTAGCAAAAGTAAAAGCATGACCTGGGTGTCAAACCCAGGTCTTTCGATTTTGTGCGCATTGGTTTGTTTAGATTGGATCTGCAATATAGGCGTTAGAGATAAAAAAGAAACATGGACCTGGGTGTGACACCCAGGTCCTTCGATTCTGAATGCAAATTAATATGACATGCCAAAAAACGTAAAATTTGATTCTTTACATTTTTTCTTACCAACAGTAATGTATGGATCTGTGGTGTTGGAGATGCCCTGGAGATCTCAGGATCAAGGCGTGATTCACTAGTTTGGACTGAGGGTACCTGCAAAATTAGTTTTGAACTATGAAACTTTTAGAATTTGGTATGCTTTTTATGAGGTAGCGTGTGCGTGTATGAGGCAGTATGGGTATTCTTTCAATAGGCAATTTTGTGCGTGTATGAAGCAGTCTATAGGCGTATGTATGTAGTCCATGTTTCCTTGTGCGTATGTATGTGTATTTATAGGAGATGGAGGGTGCATGGAAATGGCAAGGGGCAACCATTAACTAGACTTTGAAGGCAAAATCAGACACATTAAAAGACTTCCATTTTTGAAATATTCATGCCTCTTTGAGCTTTGGGATGAACCTGGACACACGTCATTCTTTCGAATACCTTCAAGCCATGCCCTTTGATTGGCCTTGAGTTACCTCCTCCGAATGACTCTGGTTTCAATCTTATAGCTCCTTCGATTGAGCCCATCTACATCAATTAGAATTGCTTAGATGTTTGATGACCCTGAATTCCAATTGTTCAGAGTTTCTTCAATTAAGTCAACATCTGCATCAATTCGAATTTCTCAGAATTCTCTTTGTCAGAGCATTCTTCTTTTCGATGACTCTGAATTTCAATTCGAATTTGATCAGAGTATCCCTTATCAGGGCTTCTTCGAAAGCCCCCCAGGTTTTTGCTCTTTGATTGGCTCTTAATTGTTCCTCATGGCTCTGAGTTGCATTGTCCTACGACTGGCTCTGACACTACCCAACTAGCCCAATCAAAAGACCTCATTCTGGCCATTCGAAGCTTCCTCTAGCATGAATGTGCTTGTGCATAAGGCTTGGGCCTGGCAGTATGCAAGACTTTGGCCAGCAAGCAAAAATTGTCTCCAACCATTGTATGTCTTTTGACTGGACCAAATGCATCTCCTTCGAAGGCATCATTTGTGTGTCCTTCGAATAGACCTTACTAGGTGTCAACAAGGTAGAGAACTGTGTGCTAAGGATTTTTAGATGTGGAATCGAAACTGTTTCAAAGGGGACCATTTCCCAGTCGAAGATGGTACAAAGGAAGTCAATGCCTTGTGGATGCTAGCATGAGGGAGGACAAAGCAAGCATAGAAGAGGCCATTCCCTAGTGAATCGAATTAGGCACGAAGGAGGTATTTGCCTTGTGGGTCGAAGGAATCTTTTTTCCTAGTGGATTGAAGGCAAATCTGAAGAAGTCTTGGCCTTGTGTGTTGAAGGCATGCACAGGGGAAATCATTTCCTTGCCAATCGAATGAGGCATGAAATAACCCATGCTCAGTCGAAGTCTTGTGAACCAAGGTTGTGTTGAAGGATTTTGGACATCCGATCGAAGCTCCTGGTCCAGATGTCAATCGAAGGATAACTTGCTCAGATGCTAATCGAAGACACTTTGTCCCAAGGCCAATCGAAGACACATTGTTTCAATGCCAATCGAAGATACCTTGTTTATCTTCAAAATTCTTATTTTCTTTAAGTAAGTGTTTGTAATCACCCATATAAGAGAAAACATTGGAAAACATAAGAGGAGAAATTTTGGGGTACAACAACAGAGAATATGAATGTTACTCTCATATATTTGGAAATCTTCTAACCGACTCTTCATCTAGAGGATATGAGTGATGCGTCTAGAAGCTACAATATATTAGCTTCTGCAGTTGATAATGTAATTGTTGACTGTCTCTTGCTGGATCATGAGATCAAGTTGTCTCCCAAAAATTATCAGCTTCCAGAAGTGAGGTTTGTAAACTCCCCCAAAGTCAGAAAGTCTTAAGGGTGATGTTTGTAAGCTTCCCCTAAGTCATAGCCATGATAATTGATTTTATCATTGAAGCACAATAATCAAAACTTCAAATTTTAAACATAAGTAGAATTAATCAATCAGACTCATATGCTTAAATACTGGTCCTTCTTCTCTCCCTTTTATCATCAACAAAAAGATAAGAACAGAAGCGGGGAAAAATACTGAAGAAAAAAGAAAAAATATTTAGGATTAAGTGATTTTGAATAAAAATAAAGTTAAAATCAATCATATTCTCTTCTAGTCCAAGAATTTTTTTTAAAAAGGTTTAACTAATATGGTTGATAAAAGCATCTTTCAAATTTCAAGGTGGTCAAACTTTAGTTTAGACAATTAAGCACAAAAAGGTAAGAATCAAAACTTGAAAGACGGGCATGAAGACCAAGACATACATAAGTCATTTTTCCCTTATTTGCAAATCATCCTCTTGTTAATGAATACCCTTGATTTGACCACAAATCTTGAAATTTTAGAGCAAGTTTCAATCATTTTCAACCAAATAAATGTGAAAAATGTAGGCCGGAATATTATATATTAATTGAGTGCAATTAGGTTTAATTTTCGACAAATCCAAAATAATCATTTGAGTCTGACCGAATCAACTATATAATCCTAAGACCAAGACATACATAAGTCATTTTCCCCTTATTTGCAAATCATCCTCTTGTTAATCCCTTGATTTGACCACAAATCTTGAAATTTTAGAGCAAGTTTCAATCATTTTCAACCAAATAATTGTGAAAAATATAGGCCGGAATATTATATATTAATTGAGTGCAATTAGGTTTAATTTTCGACAAATCCAAAATAATCATTTGAGTCTGACCGAATCAACTATATAATCTTAATTAAGCAATTCAATCAACCCAACACCCAACCAATAGTGCACACAAAAAAAAAATAATGGGTTGGACTTAAAGTTGGGCTAGGTCCTAAAAACTTCAACTAAGTGCATGTTTGGTTTGGCTTTAAGAATGACCAAAAGCAATTCTAGATAGTAGAATTGATTCCAGTTGATTTTGAAGTTTTTGGTTAGATAAAAGTAAAATTGATTCTACTTGAAACCAAAATTTATAGTTTATGCCTCCAAAATTGATTATAAGTGATTTTTACACTAAAATTTATTGTTCAACTCACTTTTATATAAATATATCCAAACGTAAATCAATTTTGTTAAACTCAATTATACTAGAATCGATTCTATCCACTCCCAATCCAAACACATCATAAATAACATATAAACAAAATCAGACTTTCTTAAAAACCAAGTAACCAAAGTCATGATCATTTAGATATATGCAAATCATAAACTAAGTAATTTAAAAAGATAAATATTCCAAAGTTAATACTCCTTTAGAATACCAAAGTCATGATCTTAAGAAGTACTAAGTAGAGACTTAGATTTATTAAGTCTTGAAATGTAATTTAATTAGTGCTTGTACAGCTTGTTTTCTTCCGTGATATAATTCTCCATTAACATTTTCTCTAAAGCACTAATTTATAGGTTCACGTATCACGTTACATAATCATTGGGACGCAAGAATTACTTCGCAAATTGGGTACCAGACAATCACTAGTGAGTTAATTAAGTTTCAAATAAAAACATATGATCGTATAGTTTTATCATGATTAATTCAATGGGATGGAAAACAGAACCAGAAAGTTATAATAAACTATACTAGTATTACATAAACTAATAGCATTTAAAAAAAAAACACAAGAACTTTACAATGCTAAGACTAGAACACAACTCTCATTTCCTTCCCCCTCTCTTCACCCCGGAAGCCTTCTTCGCTGGAGACTTCACACTCTTCACCGGAGCCTTCTTTGCTGCCACTGCTTTCTTAGGTGCGGTTTTTGCAACAGCAACTTTCTTCCCTGGTGTAGTCTTAGCCGATGTTCTTGCAACCTTTGCAGGCCTTGCCTTGGGCTTAGCAACAGTTTTAGGCTTGGCAGCAGCTTTGGGCTTGGTAGTAGCAGATTTTGCCTTTGAAGCAACCTTTGTTTTTACAACAGCTTTAGCTTTTGGCTTAGCAGCTGGCTTAGCCTTCACAGCCTTTACCTTGGCAGCTGGCTTAGCCTTCACAGACTTCACCTTGGCAGCTGGCTTTGACTTCGGCTTGGCGACTGCGGGCTTTTTCGCAGCTGCAGAAAGCTTGAACGAACCTTTAACCTTAACAAGCTTTCCAGAAGCAACTTTTTTCTTCAAATTTTGGAGCAATAGCTTCTTGAAGTTGGCAGGAAGCTGTTTGTGCTTCTCTTCAATGAACTTTGCAATCGCGTATTGGCTTGAACCATTCTTCTCCTTCAGCGACACTATTGCATCCTTAATCATCTGCAATTCAATTAACAAATTAAAATTCAGATCCAATTCAAACAGTAATTCGTGACGAAACAGTAAAATCAAATAGAAAAGAGTGAAATTGAATTGAATGGAACCTCTTCGTAAGTAGGATGTAAAGCAGGGTTTCGTGGTTTGGAAGCTTTTTTAGGCTTGGATTCCTTGGTTTTCTTCGTCTTCTCAGTTTGAGCCTTTGGTTCCTCCACTTTCTCCGAGACTGGAGGTTCGGCGGTCGCTGGTTCAAGCTCGGGTTCAACGGCGATAATAGGTTCTTCGGTAGCCATGGGAAAATTAAGGTTTGGAATAAGAGAGAAGTAACTGTTACAGTTGAAATTGAAATATTTTTGTGTGTGATTATTAGAAAGGAAATGGATGGTTTAAATAGTGAATTTTGTGTGGGGTGATATTCGATTGCTTAATTCTAATTGGCCCAGAGAACCCGACAAGGATCGATGCCTTCTACTAGTTTGAACGCCAGCCCTTCGATGGGGAGGCTATCGACGGTTTTCCTTTGATTGATCGGTGGAGAAATATGAAGAAATGTTCTTTGATTTTGGGAGGTGTTGGTTGTTTTAGTTGTGCTTTTGAGCTAGATTCATTTGGTCATAACTTGAGTTGTGGTTCATGGATTTGAATGATTTTTTTTGCAGCTTCTAGGATATTTTATTAGCTTTCCAATGAGTGCTTCAGGTTGAAGAATGGATTTGGTGGTTTTGAGCACTTTGGTTTTGAAGGCACAAGGGTCATTATTAAAGTTATTAAGGTTTTTCATGATGTTATCAATGTTTTTCTCCAATTCAGAGAATGTTCATTAAGGATTTCATCAATTCACACCTTTTAAGATAGCAGGTTAACTGAGGATTCTATTGCATCCAAATCATAAAAATTAGTTGAGATTTGAATATAAAACATTTGATAAAAAGGCCATTGAAGTTGAACAAATTCTACTAAAGAATCTATGTGGTCAAATATTGCATATAAATCATATATAACACATAATATCTCATAATAACTCAATTTTAGAGATTTGATTGAGTCATTATTGGTACAACTATGATGTCTATTTCATGAGAAAGAGTTTGTGGAAGACTAAATTTCATAGTAAGAGATTTATCATCAAAAAAAAATTTGTGCCGTTGTGCATTTTTTTTAAATTTTTTTTTAAAACATTGGATATTAATCTATTCTAGTAGTGATGCAAACCACTATACTTCTACAATATATTGTGAAGTGATTGACATTTTCCACTTGAGTGTTGATATGTGCTTGTGAGAAAGTCCAAGTAAAAGTTCTCCATATCAATATAATGCAAATGCTCAATTTCTCATACTTGTGGATAGTAAGTTATGTTTTCCACTCGAATACGACAAAATATCTTTTTAATTTAAAATCAATCAATACACTTTCGTGGTTATTTTTACCACGAACTACGACGCTCTGACTTCTTCATTGCACATGGAGGATACGTAGGCACGAGACTCTTGAAGTCTTGGCAAGCACAAAAATAATAAAATACTTCTTTTCTCATCACTCAAATCTTTTTGCAAACAACCTGATTTTATTATAACGTAATTTTTCAAGAGGTTCCTACGGAGTACCATAAATGTGAATGGTGTTAATACTTTCCCCTTGCATAACCAACCCTTGTCACTACTACAAAAAAGACATTCAACAACGGTTGCAAAAAATAAATAATCATGTGGAACCAGACGTTGTTATGTAGCGTGTAGTTGTATATGTGTCACTTACAATCATAGTCTGGTGACCGTTGTAGTAAACTATCTATCACAATGATTGATGTAAATAATCATTGTCATGCATATAGTGACATGGGTTTGATACACAGCTGAAACAACCAGCTAAAAATCATCAAACAATGAAGTCGCCATCGAACGTCTTTTATCCCGCATGAAGGGAAAGGTAAACATCGAGAAAACCTGAGAAGGGAGAAGTCACGGTCTTGCGACCGAGAGATCGAGTAAGGGAGTCTGTTACATGAAGGGAAGGTATTAGCACCCCACACGCATGTAGTACTCTACGGTATCCAGTCTTGTTTTATATCTAAGGTTGTGTTTAATATATGCTTATTATTTACTACTGCTAAAGAATGCATGCAAAAGAAAGGAGAAAAGAATGTAGAGAAAATAAAGTTGTACTCGCTTGGGCATTATCCCAATGCCTACGTATCCTTTTGAGGAATCAGAGCTACCGTAGTTTGGCTCACATGTTTTGTTTGTTTTGTGTTTTTTTTATGGATAATGCTTATTTCGCCTTCTGCCGCAGCTCGACCTTTGGAGACTTATGCGTTGGCACAGAAGTAAACTAATCATATCCTTACCTGAAGAGAGTTTTAGAGAAAAGGTGCTTGGACGCACAAAAAGGTTTGAGTTTGTTTGTATTTTGTTACCTTGAAAAAGGGTTTAAGTATGATTAACATGTTTTTTATTTGCTAAGAAAATAAGTTTTAGTTTTAAATGCATATGCAAAAGGGGAAGAAAAGAGTCTAAGGGAGACTAGCCTATTTCTAATCTAATATTATCATTCAATGGTAGTCCTAAGGTTTGGATTAACAAAAGGGAAATGTCTACCTAATGTCAGCATGCATGGTTTACAACCTAAGGTCTAACTTGCATTTGAACGGAGCAAGTATATCCTAAAGGAACATGGTATGTACAAGGATAAAGCAACCAAGCTAATAAGCTCAAGAGAGTACACCTAGAGAGATCCTATCTAGGTTAGCACGCCAAAGAAAGTCTAACAAAACTATCCTATAGGGAACATGCAATGAGAGCGAAGTCGTGATCTCAATTTCTAAATTGAGTGACTCATCGATCAACAAGAAATAAAGGAAAGCGATAAAATCCTATAGAGAGCATGCACTGAGAGCAAAGTCATGATCTCAATTCCTAAATTGAGTGACTCATCGATCAACAATCAAAGAAACAAACACAAGCACAACGCATATAGCAAATAAAGTGTGTAATGCCTGCTACAGGTCTTTAAACAGCGACTTCGAGCACACACTCTTTATTTCCTACTTCTCACGGTATATAGAAAGCAATAAAATCCTACTTCTCATGATATCCAGAAAAGCGGTAAAGAAATACGATAAAGCGCAGAAATGAGGGACAAAATAAAGGTCACGATGGTACTGAATGGATAAAGTTCGTTGCCTCTTCAAAACAACACAAGCGATAAGAAAAATCTACAGAAGCTGCTCCGCACGAGTGATCAAAAAATTAACCTCCAATCATTCCATATTGTGAAAGTTACATCGGCATTCTATCACAAAATCTTGGCAAGCGGATATCAATCTGTAGCGAAGCGTATCAAAATAAAGAAATATGCGATCTACGCGAAAGCTTTACCAATCAAAGAAAAGAGTTAGAAATCAAATGCCTGGAATAAGCGTCGAAGCATCATCGATGTGAAAATAAACCACAATCGAAATCTCAAGCACATCCATATATCGCACGATAAACCTGTATAAAACTCAAATCTCAATAAGCAAAGGTGAATCACAAATCTCAAGTGATTGGATAATCGGAATTTAATTCCTAAAATAAAAATAAATAAAAAATCTAACACGCTTTTATTTTTATTAATTTCATAACCCTTTTGTCACTAATTTTCTATCAAAATCATGAAAAATAAAATTAAAGAAACATTAAAAGAAAAAAATGTTAAGAAGCCAATACCAGAGGGTGGGGAACCAATATTTGGGGAATGTAGTAACAAACAGACGCTAGGGCCCAAGGTAATGCGATTCAACAACCATTTTTTTATGATACAAAGCTTTAAACCAAAAATATGGTATATTGGGCCAAGCCTCGTACAACTTAGTCCAACTCTTCTTCCAATCAATACAACTCACTACTAGGCACTAGCTTTCTTCAAATGCAAATTTCACTCATCAAGCATTATTATTTATTTCAGTATATTATTTTAAAAAGAAGGAAAAAAACAGAAACGTTGCGTTTTGGAATCTCACAGTAATGTCTTAAACCTATAACTCCCTCTTCACCTTCAAGCTTCAATCGAGAACAAACGTCGCGTCAACGACGACCATGGCGGTTATTCCCTAGAGAAGGCCGGTCTATACACGATTCGCTCCGTCCTTCTCGCCTCAGTCCGTACCAACTCTTTCATTCCATTGATCTTTCATCATTTTTACGGAATCTTAAATCCAAGCTAAAACCCTATGTTTTCCTATGTGTAAATTGAATGCCATGTGTTGAGCATCAGAGTTTGTTACCATGGGGCTTCGCTTCCTCTCATCGTACTCTACAAGGCGTTAACGAGATTGGAAAAAGAGACGAAGAAATTATACCCACGAAGATGCTCGTATCAAGTAAAGTTATACTCGCCTCCGCTTTCGTTTTCCTCTACTTTCTCGTTCTTTTCTATGACTGCAACGATCTTTTACACCTTTTTCTTCTTTTTGTATGCGACTGTTTGAGTTGTATTGATGCGTTTCCAAAAGTTTACAAAAGGATGTGGTTGCGATTCAGATGATAATTGAAGTCGCGGAGCTTGAAACAGAGATTCCAGAGGAATTTTGTTAGAGGTTTTGTGGTAATTTTCTAAAAAATGTGAAGAACGGTGAAGATGAGGCAGAGAGAATTTTTGCATAGATTTCTTGTGGTAATGGGGAAGGAAGAAGAGAGAGAAGATGGTGGAGAAGAAGTGAAATGGATGAAGATTGTAGATAAGGAAGAAGGGAGATGAGAGTGAAGAGAGAGTTTGCTTCTGGTGTTTTCTAGTCCGTTTCCTATCTTCTTTAACTCTGTTATCTATTTTTCTATTGAGGCGGTTATGGAATTGGTTAGGTGATGTTAGGGAATTGGTTAGGTGATGTTAGGGAATTGGTTGGAGATTGACAGTTTGGTTGAGATTCTGTTGTGAAAGTTTGTTAGCATTGAGTCAATCTCAACCCCTGAAATCTTATTTTCTGTTACAAGTGTGTATGGTTAGGATAAAATCGGTTATGAATCAGTTATGCTGAGTTTGTTAAATTATGTTTATGTTACATGTAGGACTGTTATGCAGTTAAAAAATTAGTTGGATGTTATTTTTGGTTTTTCCTATTTAATGTGGGGTTCTTGTGTGCAGGGCTGATTATACACTGAATTATGTGTAGGTTTATAGCACTCTCTACAAGCTTGAGACAGTTTCAATACAGTTGCAGATTTTGCATAAAGATGACAGTATGTTTGGTTGAATATGGACAAAATCGAATGAAAATATGCAAATGGAGATAAAGTGTGGAATTTAAAGATTGGAGCAAGGGATAAACTTTAAAATCATAGTTAACTTATAAACTTATGATGTACTCTTCTAAACTAGCATGGCCTTTAGGACTTTGTAATATAAGTAATCTTTGTAAGCCTTGAATTGTGGTATTGAGTATTATGGTGGTCTTGTGGATGTAAAAAAAATGCTCTTCAAAGATTCTTTCTAAGCTTCACATTTATCTTCAATTTGGAAATGATGAATTTGAATGGGTTTTGAGCCTCGTATGAAAAACCTTGGCCTTAAATAAAAACTTGAAGTAAGCTAAATGATTCCACATAATTTCATACTTTTCCTTGAATTGCAACTGGAATAGGCCTCATGGACATAGTTGAATGATGAAGAATATTTGAACAAAACTAGAACTTTGAATATAAACCCTTTTAGATATGATGATGTATTCCTTGAGTAATTCTTGTAATTTTGAACAAGTATTCCAATATTTAGAATATGCATCCATTTATCGAACTTGAATCAAAACAAACACTCGAAAGGATTTTGAATGAACATGCCCTGCAAATTTAAATTGGTAGCTTATTCCTTGATTTCAAGATAGACCATGAATGGATTGCTTGAACCTTAAGAAACTTTGATTATCTTGACAAGTCTTCAATTCCAAATCCCAATGACAAATCCAGATTACCTTGAGCCCCTAAGTTCAAAATTCCAAACTATCTTGCAATTTTGCTTTGCCAAAAGCATTACCCTAAGGGACCTTATAGAATACAAACTTAGAAATATGAATCCACTGATCCTCGTGGTGGTGAAAAGAAACCAAACCCTGGCCCCACAAACCATAATTGATGAAAGAACCAGTCGATATAAGCTTGAGTGAATGAGAACCTTAAAACCTAGAGAACCCTAATCTTTAACTTTGTCTCATAAAACCTTGCAACTTGATATTGAGAAGAAAAGAATAGCCTCGTAGCTTGATGACGATAAAGTCCATGAAATTAAAACCTAGCTTCAAACAAATGACCGATGGAGAAATCAATTGAAATAAACTTGTGCAAAGATGAGAGCCTTAAAGCTATACAGCAACCCTAATTCCACAATATCATTGATCCCATGCAAAATTATTGACCAATGGTGCATGACGTTGTTAAATGACCTAATGGAGGTTATGTACATAAGAAAAATCCGAGATGCATAAGCCAGATAAAAGTGAGAGGGTAAGACAAATTTGGGGTATTACAATAGCTACAACCAAAATTAAACTGCATAAAAAATAGTATTTTACCATGGTTATAAGTTTGTAGTATATGTAAGAGTTTATTATAAAATATAAAATTGTTTGTTTTTCCATGTCCCTCATTAACCTTATACAATCACTCAAATAGATTTTGGAGATAATAATCAGAAAAATTAAATTATTCTTGAAAAAAAATTAAATGATCCAATGTTTTTCGAATGGCATGACTCTTGTAAGTCATGATTTCCTCTTTAGCCTATATGATTTGACTCAACCCAAAGTTCTTCAAAGTAACGTTGATGAATGGATGCTAGTCTGAGTCTTTCACACAAAATTTGATTTCCTCTTCTTTTCTAGTTTATTTTTCAAACATCAAGATTTGTATGAAAGACCCAGAATGACACTCATTTATCAACATTGTTTTGAAGAATTTGTGACAATGAATGAAACTCTATATGCTAAAGAGAGAATTATGATTTATAAGATGCATGTAATTTGAAGAAAAAATATTGGATCGTCTAAGTTGATTTTCAAGAATAATTTAATTTTTTAAATTGTTATCTTAAAAATCTTTTTAAATGAATGCAAGTTCAATGAGGGGTTAGTGAAACAAGATATCTCATATGATATAATAAACTCACTAATAATATTTATCAACAAAAACATCAAATTAATCTACATAGATTGATAAAACTGAATAACTAACCACTTCTTGAAGCTTTAAGTGATACGTACAGAACCATAACCACTTGCTAGATGCAAATGAAAAACCACTAATAACAATCACATAGGATATAACAAACTCACTAACAACATTTATCAACAACATATATACATACCTTTAATTGAAAAGATGATTGTCTCATAATGAAGTTGAAGTTGATTTATTTGTGTTACTATGAAAAAAATACAAGGAGGATTAATAACTTCATTTTTTTCTCATACTATGTGAACTATAAACCATCATGTGAACCACAACCATACTATGTGAATTTAAATCCTACAATCACGATGAAAAAAAACATCATGTTAACATAAACTAGCATGGCATTATAATCTAACAAAATTTATCAACATACATAATAATAACATCAACATACACAAAGTAAATAATATGAAAATCCCCATGGGGGAGGTGCATATGTCAAACCCGCTCAGAGTGCTTAGAGTTTAAGTTGTACTTACATAAGCTGATGGACTTACAGAAGCTTATTCATGTCTACATTTATCAACTTTTATCAACAACAATATACAACAACATGCAACAATAAAAAAACCATAAACTATCTAACAATAAGAAAATCATATAAAATATAACAACAACATACATGAAAACGAGAATAAGGAGGAAGAAGAAGAATACTTTTATGTACGAAGAAAAATATTGACGACTATGTTGTAGAATAGGAAAGCTAATGACGAAGAAGAAGAGAAAAAAATGGGTGCTAGGGTTTTGATGTTAAAGATACGGCGATATTGTCAAGAAGCGAGAGTTAAGTCGCTTATATATGGGTAAACAATTGCAGAACGATTGAAATTACAAACATGGTGATATGTATGTATGTATATATATATATATATATATATATATATATATATATATATATATATATGTGTGTGTGTGTGTGTGTGTGTGTGTGTGTGTGTGTGTGTGTGTGTGTGTGTGTGTGTGTGTGTGTGTGTGTGTGTGTGTGTGTGTGTGTGTGTGTGTGTGTCACAATGCTTTAACGAAAAAATCGTAGTGACATCCCTTTTATTTTATTTAAAAATAAATATAAAAAAATATGTGCCTTAATGTTACAGGAATAAATTATTTGATGGATGTGAGGTTTGAACCCATGAAAGCTTTACTGTATAATACGGTTATCTCAACAACTGTTATTATAACCTAATAATTTTTAATTAAAAAAATGTTAGCGCTTGAGTTTGAAGATATCACCACAGTGTTGGGTAAAACTATGGTGAATTTGGCATTGTTGTTTGCGACTTTTGTATTAGTCTGTATCCAGATATCTCTTTTGTTTTACTTTTGAGTTGGGTTTTATCGATATTTTCCCTTTTATTTGGAAACAATAAAGTTCAGTGGTGACTCTTGTTTTTTCAAGTTAAGTTAATCAATAGCTTAATATCAATTTTTCCTGTCGTGACAACAAGTGGCATCAAGAGCTTTGTTCATTTCGTGTGCTTCAAAAATACTTATTAGAAAATGGCTATCGAACCTAAAGAGGCGTGCGATAAAGCGCCTATTTTTATTGGTGAGAACTATGGTTATTCGAAAGCTTGTAGGCGTATTCATATTAATTATTATGATTAAGAGTGTGTGGGATGTTATTGTCAACGGTCCAACGGAAATTATCGTAACCGTAGATGGTGTGACCACACCTAAACTGGAAGCACAATGGAATGATGATGATAAGAAAAAGTGGGGTTATTATTGGAAAGCATGAAACATTCTCACGTCCTCTTTTGGTGTTGAAGATTTTTGTCGTGTTTCCAATTGTGAAATCGCTAAAGTTGCATGGGACACGTTGCAAGTTACCTATGAGGGAACCAATAAAGTGAAACAAGCTAAAATTAATACACTAAATCAAGATTTTGAACTATTTCGCATGAAGCATGGTGATAACGTTGCCGAAATGCAAAAGAGGTCCACTAGTCTCATTAATCGTTTGAATGCACTTGGAAAACCGGTCTCTAAAAAAATTGCTACTAATAAAGTTTTGAGGTGTCTTGATAGGGAATGGTAACCAAAGGTCACCGCGAACAAGAAATCCAACAAACTTACTACACTTGACCCCACTACATTGTTTGGTAAGTGTTAAATATATGGTTCCAGGATTGACATAAATTTTGCTAAAACATGGTTTTGGACCGATGTTGAGCAAGATGTCACAACATCTTGACTAACTGTTGTTTTACCCCAAAATTTTCCCTCTCTTTTCTCAAGATATTTCTCACAAAGATCTTCAATGATTCAAGCTTGCACAAGTATTGACTAAGTCAAGCCATCTCCTTAACACTGATACCTCAA